ATGTAGTAGACGAGCATAATTGTTCTGTCACATATTTTTCGTCTTAGCCTTGTCTTTTCGTCTTAACCGTCGCAGTCCGCTTCATTGAATGTTTAGTTTGATAATTTATAAACATATATTCAGTGCGAGACTGTTGCTTTCAAATTGTGTTAATACAAAGATGATTTAAACTTGTCCCTTCCGTTGCCAACGTATTCAATATACGGAAATAGCATGCGTGTGTGCATTTACGCGAGTGAAAGATGCAGGTGAGATTTCACGTCGCAACGTGTTCTATTTATTTCCGATGCGCGTGGTCGGCGCCTTTGATTGCGTTTATTTTGTTCTTTCATACTCGAAATCTATCGCTGGCACCGTTTATTTTGTCATGTCTCACAACTGAACGTCCAAGCTGACTTTGTTTTGGCTGTATCACTTACACATTATTCACAAATTATCCGTAGATTGATCTGTCACTGCTTATGCAGAACTTGGTACGGTAACTTCAGCTATTTCGAGTTTTCTTGTCCGAAGACTTTCAAAGTGAAGTAAACTTCTATGAATTTGATCAATCTGATCCACAGTTTGACAAATGCAATAATAATAGCGGAATTTAGTTAAGCAATAATGAATTCCCCACATCGCCATATCGAATAGGAAGACAGGTCTATGGTAAGATCGCTGGACATTTCATCGTACTAGACTCTTCTCCGATTCTAAGAAGACACAACAGGGAGGTTACTATAAACGCAACTATCAGAATTAAACAAATTTAGTTATTTGTTTGTTTGTTGTTGTTGAAATGAGTTTAAATGCGAAGACGTCATACAATCCTCTAATTATGATAATGGTGATCTGTGTCACATAAATATTATTCTATCCTAATACAAAATGTTGTATAAGCTGTATTGACAAGTGGGGAACAAATAATTTATCATCACGAAATGAACAAATTTGAGAGAGTTAGGTTCAATGTAACTTGTCAAGTATAACAAACATTTTCGATGACAGTCTTTTTGAAATATGCTATTCGTAAATACGGAGAATAGACAATTCCGTCCCCAAATTAGTTTTCCCGATTATTATGTAATCAAAAAGTCACTCACACCGTGAATAAGCACATTAATTTCTGAGAGATGTGATCTGAATTGCAATCCATGATATGTGCCCCTGGGCTGATTCCTATAAATTGTTCAATTGGTGATCTCCTGGTACAAATTATTAAATTCAAGGTTTAGCAAATATTTATGCACACCAATTGACGAACTGAACACTCCGCCACCACTACCCTGGGAATGTGACGCAATAAAAATATAAGCATTTCATGTTAAGCAAATTACCCTCTTGTTTATTTCTGAAGGTGCCTCTTGCAGGTCCCATTTCATTTTTGATTTAGTTGACCCCAAAAGTAGATCCCTTTAACGGCTACAACGCACACTGTTGTATACTATTTCAATTGAAGACTCCTGCGTGTATTTGTTTAGCTAATGTTAGCAATATCTGGTCCATTGTTGTGTCATGTATTTGCAATGCTTTGTAACCTACAATATTATGCACAGCGAATGCTGAATAACTGTTTATTTACAAAATACGCATAGTACTTCAAGAAAAAAGGTCGATGATCGACCGAGCTGCTGTCCAAACAGACTAGCCATCAATAAAAAGAGTGCCAATAATACAAACGAATTGTGTACGCATTGACTACACTCTGCATGGCTGTACTGACTGTTCGGAATCGTGCTCCCCGGAATTTGACCGCTTGACACGAGATTATGCCACGTTATATATTATGTTAATGTGCTTCCAAAAAATACACGATGCTTCGTCTGAATGCCATGTTAATGAAACTCAAAGTCATTCCATTCCTTACCATGCACGTTTGGTCTATACTTCTTGTCATAATTTCCTGTTAAAACTTCATCGATTCTCTTCTTTGAGAGTGTATCCGTTACCGGCGTTGACTTCGTCATCGGCGTCGTCACTGGTATCGTTACATTACCCGATTGAACACTGTTGAATTGAAACAATGATAACATGAACATAAACACATTGCAATGACATGATGAATACTCTGGGGACAAAACGTTAAGTCACAGTAAACAGACGTCGGGATAAAAGGTACACGTGGTTCGCACAGACATGGCGCTGGGAGTTAACAGTACACTGTCAATGGAGAAGGCATTGATTTGTAAATCCCCATTATTGTATGTTTTATTACGTTATCAATGTATAATTTTGTACATTGTGATTGTGTCCTCATGAAATTAAACAATATTACTGCTAATAATGTGATTAATATCTATATTATGGTGGCACGTTTCATATGTATATTCACTGGAGTCTATTCACGATAAACTGGATTTATACATACAAGATCTGTAGACTAAATGTTATGAAACACAGCGGAAAGATTTGTTGTCACTAGCTACACCCATGAACACAAGTGTGTACGACTGGCTGTATGCATTCATTCGCCATTTCCTTAGCGTCTGATGAAGAAATACTTGAATTTTCTATATAGGAGTCGTGGAATGTGGATAATATCTTACCTGGAAATAAGAATGAATAAATGCAGATAATATATGGCTGTCATACTGAATGATATATTTAGCTCGTCTGTATGATTCTTTGATGCTGTAAGACACGGTGCAATTGCCTGTTGTATAAAGCGTAGGTAATTACCATGTGAAAGCTGATTCGATGCATGTGTTATGTATCGACATGTATTCGACCTATGAATAATACTAATAATGTCATGAAGACAGGGGTGATGGTTCATTCGGGTCATCGAACTGGTAAAATCAAATATGGATCCGCCCTACATTATTCAATGTATGCGTTATAATAAGGCAAAGACGAGAATGAGTGTACACAGTAGGAGAGACGACCACCCCCATTAGCTGCTAGTATATCAAGCACAATTGCACAATGTCGAACACCTTGGATGGCGTCTTTTATTACAATTCCTTTAATACCTGGGACATAAAAAGAATATAAGCGTGTAACTGCGGTATTTTATTTGATGTCTATTCGTAAATTCACTATTACATAAATCACAGAAACAGAAAAACGTCTGTCTAACAGTTGCACATATTATAATGTAATTTAGGTATGATTTCATTAATATGAACGCTAGTGAACCTGAGAGTCATGTCAACCATCAAGACGTAATCGAGTGTACGGCGCCAATTCTGTATTTTGTTGAAAATATGTCGATTGAGTGCATTTTACAAAATAATACCGATATTCCTGCTAACAATAAACTACACGAATAAATCTTGCAACGCCGAAATACGGTTGCGAATTGGTGTCACCGCTCGATGTAGGATGCAGATATAATTGTTGTGTTGCTTGCTTTAAAGTTATTTCTGTATTTCAGAATAATCTTAAAAATGAAGTTATGGTATAGTATTTTAAGAATAACCAACCCAGCGCGACATGTTCCACTCGATTCAGCCCGATTCATTCTATATACGTACGAGCGATAGTCAGGAAACTGATCCAAATATTGTGGCGTACTCGCCTCCATGGGTTGCTAAATCTTTAATACATTTGATATTATATACCTATCACAATATTTAAATTCACATAACTATGGAAAATGATTTAGAATGATTTCAGTCAGTGCATGCATGCATGCATGCATGAAAAAAATGTCTAGAAAAAAACATTTGCTATGTAAGGCTCTCGTCACGATCACGTCAACAAATTAAATTGATGAAGTTGGTTCTGGCTTCTTGTTCATTGGATTGGGCACACACAAATATTAAATCACATTACAACGTCTTGATTATTTAAAATATGTACTTGCCATGTCATTGAATGATAAATATGTCTTTAAATTTGTATAGTTACACGACTAGATAGGAATGAGACTGACACCATCCTAGCGGACTTTATGATGTACCCAGGCAGTGGGAATCATGTGCCCAACGATTATATGTCGTAACCTGTATCCCGTGTATAAATAGTATCATTGCTTGGCCTGTCTGGTGACTAGCACATTTTATAAAACAAATATCACAGGCAACTGGTGAAAATAGTCAACGATGTGTGCAACTGAAGATTTTTGTTGATACATATAAATACGTGTATAGCTGTAACATATGTGAACTTATATTTGCGACAGTTGCAGATATACTCACATCTAGGTGCGCGTCACGTCTGGTTGCCAGACAACTTGATCACACTATTAAATACCGTATGCTGTTCTGAGTGAAACTGCTCCAATGTAGACACAATATCATTTAAAGGAATATTGAAATGGTTTGTTTGTTTTATCGAATTAAATATTCATGACATGTTAGTTTTACGTAGTTTGTACTACTAATACTATTTTGTTTGTATTTATAGATTGCATTCTAACCGATAAAAAATAGATGAAAGCATTTTGTGTTTTTGCGTAAATTAAACACAGCTGTTCATCTGCGACATTATAATTTATATATGCTACATACTCCTTATTACACCCAATAAAATGTATGTCGACCTTATTGTATACACACATGTATTTAGTTTTGACCTTATATCTGTAGCAAAATGGAAATTTAAACAAAAATGCAACGGAACGGTGGCACGGATATCAGGTGAAAACCTAATTTCTACCTGTACATAATGCATTGAACACAAAGTCGCCACCAATAAAGCTTGTACGCCATTACACAGAGGTCAGTGATTTACTTTTGATATTAAAATAAACACAGACGTATAAATTAAACAGAAATTATGCATGGCAGACCAATTTGTTCTGAGTCAACCTACGGTTACTTTTATATGTGAAACACGCTGGTTGGTCGATTGGCTGGATGGCTGACTAGTCAGTTAAAATCTGCCAATGGGTGCTTTCTTTTGTTATTATTCAAATCACAGCTTATAATAATACCGCCGAAAATTGACTCTTGAAGTAAATATTCATTGTGTTATACTTATCAGTGTACCAATAGTCACCAGGCTGGTTCCAATGCCACAGGTCAGGTCATGAGTTAAATGTTGTCAAATTATGAATATTCATTTAGCGATAACACTAGTATGTTAATTAGTGAATTCAGTTATTGATTGATAATAATATGGTCAATGCAGCTACAAGAAAAAGCTTTCAAAAACTTGTATAATTTCATAACATAGAACACCGTCTCCAGTTTCTAATTTGAATATCCAAGTTTCAAAGATTGCGGGCGCTGTCAGAGAGTGCCATATGTCGATTCACGCATTTGTATATATACACAATAGAAGCCAATTATGCGGTATTTAATACATTATATCTGTTAAAGTGTTTCCACATTCGAATGACGGTGGAGGAGGTGATCACCTCCCATTTGTCATTATATCGTAACCGTGATATCACTGACAGGACGGGATAAAGGGCAGTTAATGCTTCACTTTGCAGAGCGGAGCCGACCTGCTTTGTCATAATCATGAACATTTCATAAATTAATGGTCTAACTGTCATTGCAAGAACGTATGTGCGGGTAAATAGTGGAAGTGTTGCCTATAGATTGACTCACACTAAAATTAGAAAATTTGCTTGTAAGTGAGCGAAGAAGTGTCTGGCACAATTTATCTGACTTGTATTGTTCGCAGTGAATTATAGGGAGTAAAACATGATTAGACAAGTTAGTGCACACCAAGCATTTCATTATTATTGTAATTAGTAGAGCTTGGAAGTATCTAACAAGTATTATAATATTTTCTTTTTTATGTATATTTTAATAAGGTGCTTTGCTAGGTGCAGTATGTTGTACCTATCGTTTTGATAGGTTAAATTTGATGGAAAATGACGATTCGTATTATTAGTATTATTTTTTTTCTGTGATATCAAAGTGTGTTTGTTGAAATAGTAGCTTTTATATACTATTTAATACAGAAAAAACATTGATGAAATATAATAGTGTATTCATTGAGGCTTTGAACATGATCTTTGTATATGATTTATACAAATATGGGAGTGAAATTGCTCTATTTGCTGGTTGAAGAGGCCCTTGTGAATTAACATTGCATTTCAATTATATATTTAAAATATCCTGTTTCTAACGCGGAATACGTACTTATAAGCACGCCTAGTGTTATAAATCATGAGCACGGGGTTGGGTGGGTATCACACAAGGTTTATTTAAGAATAGCCAAGCATGTGTTTTTAACCACTTTTTAAGCCGAAACATGAGATTTATGTTTTAAACAAAAACCTGCCTTCAAGAGTTAATGTATACTGAGAGGAGGTTAAATCTGGTGTTACCTGCAACAAGAAAGGCACCCGGAAGTTTCGATTTCGTGGTATCAAGAGGTGAGTTTAAATCAGCCTCAGATCCTCCCCGCTGGCTTAAAATCCTACGACTCTCCGTTGTAAAAATTCGTTGAAATATCTAAATTTACTACCTTAGTCGTCGAAATAGATGTAACTTACCGATGATACGTTGTAAGTGGTGGCAACACAATTGAAGTATCACAAGAAAGGGACGAAAACAGAGTGGAAATTTCCAAATTGCACCATGGGATATGTCG